AATAAGATGTAATTTTTTTCTTACCAAGTTTTTTTAAATGAAAATATTATTCCACCTTATGTGGATATTTGTACCAGAGCCGCACTTAATAAGCCAAAGACCCACACTTTGCCAACCACTGGCCTAGATGACTAACTACTATTTTTTTATTTTACTGCAAAATGACAAATATGGCATTTATTAAAAAGAAAAGGTATAAAAGATTTTGTGGTAAAATCGTAGTATATGGTAAGGCCTCGGCACAATTTTGAAAATTGTCACAAACACCAAATTTACCCATTTACTGCTCATCATAATGTCGCCAAATCCCGTACATGGAGGTTAGAATAGAACCAAAGGTTAGACGAACCAAAGAACGTCTATGTAAAGAAGGAAAGGTTCCATAGACGTAATGCTATTATGCCGCTAGAAAGCAGAGAGAAAATTCACCAAAACATTTGGCGACGGAACTTGGCACCCAGAATTTTCTTCTCCGCGATGTGTACAGGAAATTGAAGAACACGTGTTAAGAAGAAACATTCTTTGACAAAATGTTTCTTCTTTGATTTTTGGCAATAATTTAAACAAGGATTTTCATACTTTTTTCCCACTCAAAATAATTAATTTACTTGCACAATTTTTTTTTCCGTTAAAGTTTAATTTTAAACGATATTCATTTTATGAACTCTTGATAATGTGACTTTCGAACTTCAACACTGGCTTCGAGCTAAGGCGACAGATATTTCGCGCGCAGCTGTTTCCCTCTATGTTGGAACGGAGCCACTCCTGTTACAGAGAATATTTCCTTCTTAACAATACATATTCTTTCATTCCAACTTCCATGGTACAGTGTACTAGAATTAAACCAAGTTTGTTTTATATGAGAATAAGTACTAGAATTAAACCAAGTTTGTTTTATATGAGAATAAGTATTTTATTTAGTTCAACATGCAGTGCACATGTGTATGAGATTCTCTCGATTTTTGAGGTTACTGGAAACAAAAGTTGCTGGAAACTTGCTTTATCTTTCTAAAAGATAATCTAATTGGAGCTGAGAAAATTGGCTCTATGCCAGCTGCCCGAATGAAACTCACGCGATACAGAATTCGATAAGAAAGTGATCGCTTCCAACGTAGGCGCAAAATTTGCTTTTTTTCTTGGGGGGGGGGGAATCGCCATATGAAATTCCTTGACTTTTCGAGATTTTGACTAAAATATTTAAATTCCCTGACTTTTTCCGGTTTTCCAGGTAGCGTTGCAACCCTGTTACTAAAACATTTCTGATTTCAATAAAGAAATCAAATGAAAACTTTAAAGAAAGTCCAGTTTAAAGAAAAATGAAGTACTTAAAAAGAAAGTAAAACATCAGGGCCTTATCATCAGATTTTAATATATGAAACTAATCTCAACTGCTTCGCCTAAACATTTTTATTACTTTCCAAATTCTTATTTATGCAGTATATGTGCCCCATTACTTTCAAGTGCCTGATTCACCCAGAAATGGTACAGCTCTGTGTTGTACAGATTCATTTAGATTAAATTAATAACTTTTTGCATTGCATTGTAAATGCATTGTAAAATATGATATCTTCATATTATTTAAATTAAGTAAAAAAAACTGAATCGTGTTTATATTAAAGGAGAAGGATAGTAAGAATGCTTGTAGCTCATGTTACCTCATATTTATATCAGAATACATTTTCCAAATCCTCATCTTTGCCCTGAAAAATTGTATTAAAATAATTCCAAATGCCCTGATTTCATTGTATGTTTGCAGAAATTTGTGGATAGCAAAAAATCTTCATTGATTTTTCTCGTGCTTCTGTAAAGTTCATGCATCTCTGGTATTTTTCTCGTTGATAATCACTTCATTATTAATAATAATTTTAAAATTTATCTTAAATTATTATACATTAATTATTACTGCTATGATTCAAGTCAGTATACACTAAGTGTTTACTCCCCATATGTGTTGATTAAATAATTGAACTTGTGAACTTTTAACGCATAAACAGCCAAGTTTCATCCAGTTTACCGTATGAGATACGAGTAGTATCTAAGCATTGCTATAAAGGTCATAGTACAGTGTATATTCTCAGAAAGTGAGTAATACAGATTTTATGTAAGTCAGCTTTGGTAACAATAATTTTTTTATGAACTGGAATAATTAATTCATGCAAATTTGTTATGCTTTTGCATAATATTCTATTTGTTAAGAGAACAGAAAAATGCATTTAGGAAATGCTGAAATATTTAAAACAAATGATTCCCATTAATCATCAAATGAAACAAATTATACGATATTTTTACTGTAATACAATTATTTAAATATACTGAAGTTATTTTAAATTTATAACTTAAAAATCTCATTGAATTGTAATTTGTCAATGGAGTAATAACGATGAAAGAGAATGCCTGTTTTGTATAACTAATATAATTAAGTATAAATATCTATTTCCTGTAATTTAGTTTCTATCTCAACTACTGACTTTTGTACCCATAACTATTTGTTCAGTATTACAGATTAAGCAACAAATCACTAGTTTGGAAATGAAAATTGTAGTTAACTAATTTGGGAACTATGATTGTGTTGGTTTATAAAAGCTTTTAATTCAAAACGAAACATTTCGTTATATAACAAAATAGGTAAATGTCCTATAAATATAGTACAGGAATCGTTTTCTCCACTGAAGATTGAGATTAGAAACTGCCTAATCTGGAAGATGAAAGAAAATGGATTTTTCTTTCATCCAATTCAAAATAATTTAACTCTTTTTCTGGAAGGAAAGCAATTAAGGAAGAAAGAAATGGAGAACAGAAAACAGTATTAAAAGCTAAACTGTTAAAAAAAAAATATTCCAAGACAAATAGGATTTTTTTTTTTCAGTATTTCTGTTTAGAATGTAGGGGAAAAAAGGTATTAAGTTAAGAAATATAGTTGTTATTATAAGAAATATAGGTTATAAACATTGAAAGCCAAAGAATATTTTCTTTGAAATATTTCTGTTTTGACAGAGGGGGAGAAAAAGTATTAAATTAAGAACTAAAGTTAAATTTTTAATAAGTTATAATAAGAATTCAGATTTTTAATACAATTTAGAAATTTTGGAAAAATATGAAGTGTCTTTAAATATTAAATTTGAAAGAATGAAAGCAAAATTATGTAGCTTCTGAACAGGTAATCTTCAAAAGCCATTTATGTAATAAACATAAACTGTAATCCATTTATGTAATAAGCTTAATATGGTAAGACACAACCTTAGTACGATGAGAAAATTTCAAACGATTATATTGAATATTTTCAATAATTTAAAAATTTTGAATAATATGGAAATATTTTAATACCTTGAAGAGTAGGATCTCTAAAACATTGTTGTAGTTACCTGTTCACTAAAATAAGAGTACATCATGCGCTAATCACTTAGAAAGTAATCCTATGTTGCATGACATGCTTTTTCACCTTTAGTAACATTACATTCATGGCACTTTATTAGGTTAATATTCATGTCACTCTATGGTGTTATATTAAAGCTGTAATGTGTTGTTATATGAATATTACAGTGTGATTTCACAACAATATTACAATGTAACTTCAAAGTCACAGTGTGTCTTCACAGCAATGTCATAATGTGACTTCACATCAAAGTCCCAATTTGACTTCACATTAATGTCACAAAAAGCCATACCCACGACGTTACTGTGACATTGAGATCGTCACAGTGTGACATGTTTGCAATGTTATAGCAACATCTCCGTGCTATTGAGAAAGTTGTCTGACATCTTGACCACTAATGGGACAGTTTAATACACACTTAATTCATTTTCAATTTTTGTAATGAATGATTTAGTGATATGTTTATACATAACTACTGTATTGTTGTGGAGAAAAAAATTCCTAAACACAGTGACATCATCTATTATCTTGCTATTTCTCTCATGCATTCTTTACCCCATTTTTTATACTTCTCATAGAAATTCTGCATGGTTTGCAACAGTCATTTTTCTATCATTATGTAATAAACAAAACCCTTTAAAAATCAAAGCATAATTAATTGGGATTTAATGATACCGAATTTTCAGAAATATGAATTCTCATTAAAAACTTGTGCACTTTTACAAAATTTGCAGAGAATTTTAATGCCACAAGAATTTTTAAAAAATGTATAAAACAAAATCTTTAAAATTATTAAAAACTCCAAGATTCGGTTTCTTTTTTGCTTCGGAAATTAACTAATGAGTGATAAAACATTTCCAATATAATATAATTATCTACAAAAAATTTTTCAACCGATTTTTCATTGATAAGAAAATTACAAGATCATATGGTGGGTGAGAGAGTTACAGAACTATCCCCCCCCCCAAAAAAAGGGGAGGAACATAAAAGCACAAAAAATATACATAATAAGTTTAAGAAAATTTCACAATTTCTGTAAGTTTCAATAGAATTTGTTTATTTCATTTTTTATCAGTATTTTTGTCATGAAATAGTCTTGCATCAAATTTTATCTAACAATACAAGAAATTGTTAAAATTTTAATATTAGCATTTACTAACTTATTTTTAGAATTTCAAATAAATAACTACAGAAATTCTTATCCAAAGAAAAAATGGCATGATTTCAGATGTCATCCTTATTAATGGAATTTCAGATTACACGAGGCAATAGTGGTCCCATTAATTTGGATAACTGTTTTTTCTACTGCATTTTTAAAAAGTGTATTAAACTTTTATTGCTCAGTTAGAAAAAGATCTTTCTTTAGTTTATATAAAGTGTACAGAGGGACCTAATTTTCTGCAAAAAAGCTAAATATATGAAAAGTAAAAGCTAAACTTAATCTTCTAAGACAAACTTTACCTTCGTTAAATAAACATCCAGACTGAATGAAAAATTGCTGTCATACTGGGCTTAAAATGCCAAGATTTTATACAGCACTGTAGTCATTTAGAACCAATAAAATCTATATATTTCAATGAAAAAATTATTTTATAAATGATACTGATATAATAAAAGTTCAACTAACCAGGAGGAGCATCTGGAAATACATGCGTAGGTGGCACAAATCCATTAATACCTCCAGGAGGTGGCATGTATGCTGGCGGGGGTGCTGGATAATACGGCCCTTGGTGAGGTGTATAGGGAGGCGGTTGGGGAGGCATATTTTGGTTTGCTGAAAAAATAAATACATTAAGAATTTGTAAAATACTGGCAAATGCAGGAAACACTGGTTATGAGGCCACTGGCAGAGGTTAAAATCACAACAATAATGAACCAATAAATCAGTTAAGTAACAAATGATGGTAACCTATTTGTATGTTGCATTATGTTGTACATTAAAAATTAAATTCATGAATAATATAAAGTTTAATATGTATAGTTATTATTATTGCATTAAAAACAATGTAAATTAATGAATAATATTGAAACAATGTAAATAAAAACAATGTAAATTAATGAATAATTATAACATCTATTTGTTAAAAGTAACCTTTTTAAAAAATTAATTTTAATATAAATATTTTATAGAAAAACATTTAACAACTGTAGTGCAAGAGACCCAATAACTTTTGCTCATGGAAAAAATTTTAACATAGGAAAGAAAACCAAGCCTAAGGATGTTGGAGAAGCAATGCTGAAATGGGTATCATTCAAAAAAGCTACAGTTTGTCAGTATTTGGTCAGATATTTCAAATGAAGGACAATGACTTTGATAGACACTTTGGAGTTACTGCCTTTTTGAGGTCAAGTGGATGGTTAAGAAAGGTTCGAGAAGTAAAACACTGCACTACTACATCCTGCAATACTTAACAATAGAATTCCTGCAATACACTTATTGAAAATGATTTTATTAGTGATTAACATTAAACAGGAGAAAGTCAATGCACCTTCCAATTTCAGTCTCTTACCTTGTGTGAACTGCTCACATTCAGACACATCTTAAATGTAGTTTCACCAAATGCTAAAATCAACAGCGTCAAGTTTTAACATAATCACTCCTCTCTCTCCCCCCCCATAACAAAAGATGACAACATTCAGCTTTACTCAGATGGTGATTTCTTATAATAATAATTATTGATTTGACAGCAAAATATTTTCACACTATGTAACTGGTCACCTAATAAATTAATTTAATAATATAATGGGCACATCTCCTTTTATAGCTGCTTTGGTAGAGAGAGGAAATGGCATGGTGAGAGAAACAAATGGTCAGAGATTTGTCATGCAGAGAGTTTAAGTTTCTTCGAGTAACTTTTTTTTATAACAACAGCTGCACTTAATGCATAAAATTATCATATTTTTTTCTTTTTTGTAACAATTAGCCGATCTTGGGTGGCCAGCCACCTATAGTTATAAAAAAGGAGAATATATATAATAATTTTAATATGTTCAACTAGTGTACTTTTATAAAAATATTTAATATTTTTAATTTAAACACCTCATAGTTTAAAAACATGTTTATTTAAATCAATCAAATTAAAAATTACAAAAAGTATTAAGAACTGTATTCATTACATTTAAATCACTTTGCTTGTTACTAATTAACAGAGATTAAATATGCAATTTAAAAATCTTACATTTTACTGAATGCTGGTGAGTGGAAGATAGATGCATTTTAATTCAGGGAATGGCAATGCTGCTTTTAAATACCCAATTTTTTGCTGATTAAAACTGAAAGACAAATATCCTACATTTTGTCAAATGGCAACAGTCTCACACACTGGAGAACAGTGTTGCAGATTTTTTTTTTTTTTCAAATCCTCCACAGTTTGTTAATAAAAAATTCATTAAATTTGTACAAAATATGAAATAAATACATAAGTGTGCTACCTTCATTTATTAAATATCATGTTCTTTGCATTTAAACCATAAAATTTATATGTCATAAAATAATTTTAAAATGAGCATATCTTTAGAATTTTCGATACACAGTTCCGCACACTGGAGATAAAAAGGTTTTTCCCTCCTGTAGAGTGCTGCCATTACTCGCTTTTAAATCGTTGAGTTTGTTAATCAAAAATTCGTTTAAGTTTCACAAAATATGAAATCGATAATAAAACAAATTTCAAATTTGGGTTTCAGATGCCCATATTCGCAGTAGGATTACGTCATTCAAAATTGGATGGCTCTAAGTACCGTTGTTTTATCACAATGCGAGAAACATGCATACATTTATGCAAATTCTTCATTATTATTTAATTTCTTCAAATGTAATACAGGGCAATACTATTTGGTGGCAACAGTTTGAAAAATGATACAGCTTTTTAAAGTTTTCAATGCAAAATCACAAAATGAAAACAACAGTCCTTCAGAGACAATTACCTTTTTTACTAATAAATTTGAAGTTCAAAATTCAAGCTCTGAGGCATTCATGTTCGAATGTAAGACTGTGTATTCAAAATTTGGTGGCTCTACGTGCCATCATTTCTCCAATGCAAAGAATATACAAATTTTTCATTTCTTAATAATAAAGATAACATTTGTTTTTTACATATTTAATTCATTTACTATTTTCAGTCTAACCTCAATAGAAAGCTACAGCCAGAAAGTAAAATACTTCTTGGATCATCAAAATGGTAAAATAAACACAAGTGTGCCTTGCCATTACTTAAGAGTCACGCTAGCAAAATTCCTGTTCAGAGTCCTGTTGGCCAGTTAATTTGTTAGGCACATTCATTACTAGAAGCAACTGCAGAATTAAGGACACAAGATGTTATCCATAAAAAAATATTTTAAAGTATGTTTATATTTACTTTTTAAATGAATTATAGTAAAAGATTGACTGTTTGGAAAGCTCGAAAAATGCCGAAATCTGACCAACTCACAGTGTATATAAAAACAGTTCATTGAAATCAAATGAATGGAAGAAAAACTTTCTGATCTGTAAGAAGAGTCATTCCATTTTTATCAACTGGACTATCAAACACCTATATTTTAATTATGCGAGATGTCGAAAGGAAAAAAGGACGTTCCATGCACAACAGACAAGTAAAACTTCATATTCGATTTAGAAATTATACTGACCATGAGAATTGGAAAGTTCGATTCTATTGTTGTCACAACTTTTTCATGTTCTACAGCCAATGTTCATTCACTTTCATATAAGTTTTTTTGAGGTTTACTTTTCTTGATGTTAGGATCGCAGAAATTTGAAACATTATACTGTATGCTGCTCCATTAAAAACAAGTCCCAATTTTTAATAATTTTTTCAAAGTGTGATTGATAAACAGCAGATAACTTATTATGTTTTTTAGAAAAAATAAAGCTAACTTATCGAGAAAATTGGATTTACATAAAGTCAAAACATTAAATTGGTGCTAAATCAGACTATTTGGGGACAGTTTCTGTTTGATTTGATAGTCCTAGTCTGACTTTATAACAGAGCTACAAATTTCTTATTTACTTAATTTTGTGCTTTTAAAAAAATAAAATTTGAAAACAATTCAGTTATTTGAGCTTAGTTGAATGACATATAGTTGAGATTTTATTGTATTTACAAAATTGTAATTAATAAATAGAAATTTATATTAAATTACTTCCATATGTATATATTAAATAATACAATATGTAGAAATTTAGTGAAATGCCTATTTACATTGGTCACCCATTCAGTCAGTTTTGCTTTTAGTGCGGTTTATAAATTTGGTTACAAACAAATCGCACTTCCTTAAGGCGAAGTTCTGGCTAAGCTATTCCCCCCCCCATCAGACTCACCATAAAAAGAAAGTACCATGAATAAATGCTTTACAAGTCCCCCACTATGCACACAATCATACTTACATTGCTTACTTGATTATACAAATTATTTAGTATATTCTATATTTAGAAGCCACATCTAATACAGCCTTTCACACAGAGGTAGGTAATCAAATCATTCAGTTACTGTTGCATATGCTCAAGTGCAACTATACAAATTCTTACTCTCCTCCTCTTTTTATCAGCACTTCGAAATTTTTTTAAATAAAATGCAGATCAAAAATGAGGTAATTTTCTCTCTATACAGCTTGAACAACAGTATGTTTTGAATCTTAGCAAATACATTTATATTTTTATTTAAATATATTTATGAAGTCTAAAAAATATGGTTTACAACCCACAGTATTGGAAACAAAAAACTATATTCACTAACATAAAATAAAAACTAAAGATTTCTTTTCTGATATGATTATATAAATTCTAAACAACTCTAAATAAGGTGTTTAAACATGGATATTATAGTACATTCAAACGTACACTGGTCATCAAGATTAACAAATAATGACAGAAATAAAATGTAACTGATACTTCATGAAAAATTATTGATAAGAAATTTGTACAAAAGCTTTAGTTACCATAAAATACAATGTTTGGTAGTTGATTATTTGCAAAATATTAAAATTAAAACTAAATTTAGAGAAACTGGAAAATGACGGCTAAATTAAATCCTCTCTTGTGGAAAACATTTTTCTTTAATATGGTGTATGGTAACTTCGGACAGATATGCACACCTTACATCTTGATTTCATAGACTTTAGGAAAGTGTTGATCAAATTTTGTGAAATTGCACGGCACTTTTAGAAAAAAGCATTTGTCAGCTCTTGGAAGGTCAGGGGAGGAATTTCACATGCTGAAATTCGACTTCCTAAGGCATCCTACACACGCTTCAATTGGATGAGCAAGGCAGCTAATCCATTTGAGTGATATCTTCCATTTTCAAGCATTCTGACAAAACATATGCTTAATGAAGTCGAGCATTGTCATCCATTAGCAAAAACTTTGGGCCAACAGCACCTTTAAACAGTCTAACTTGGGGTTCCAGTACCTGATCCACATATTGCCCAGCGGTTACAGAACCTCTTTAAAATATGGGCAGCTCAATATCATGATTCCTTCCCAAACCATTAAACTATGGGTCTTGGAAATGTGATATTTCACAGACAAGGGAAGGCAAGTTGCATGTTCTTTTCTCTGTCCAAATCAAAACATATCTAAAATGACTGACATCACTATATCTGAGCTTGTCAGTAAACAATACTTGGGCTACCACTGAACATGATGTTGGCACCAGTTTAAATGGGTCTCTTTGGAAGCTGGAGTGAGTGGTTTGAGTTACTGATCACTCTCAAAAACCACATTCACTTTAACACTACAGACTGGAATTCCAACATGCCTCCATAGCACACCACAATGTCAGTCACTGAATTTGCATATTTCTGGTGCTAATATATATGTGGAAGTGCAATTTTTACCACTGAACATGATGTTGGCACCAGTTTAAATGGGTCTCTTTGGAAGCTGGAGTGAGTGGTTTGAGTTACTGATCACTCTCAAAAACCACATTCACTTTAACACTACAGACTGGAATTCCAATATGCCTCCATAGCGCACCACATTGTCAGTCACTGAATTTGCATATTTCTGGTGCTAATGTATATGTGGAAGTGCAATTTTGTGTTCAGTTGCATTTAACTAACATAAATAATTACAGCATTGGGGAAAAGCCGCAACATCAGCTTGGTGAGCATATTTTTTTCTCATTACCCTTTAATTTTGATGACCAGTACTGGTATTTTGCAGGTACTGTAAAATCTAGAGATTTTACAATACCTGCAAAATTTGCAAGGAAATTGGTGTTTTACAATCATAACTAGATTTATTTCATGTCACAAATAATTAGTCAATATACATATTGAAAAGAAAGGAGAGCAAAATGGAATATTACCCATTTGAGCAGCTCTCAACATAGCTTGACCAAATTCTATTGCACCACCACTAAAGAATTTCAGCTTGAATGTGGCTTTGCCCGTCCAGTTTCCTAAAAATAAACAAAAATTGTACAACTAGAATAAATAGTGTTATTTATTCAAAATTGAGACCTCTTTAAATATGGAATCCCTTTATATTTTAGAGTAAACTTTAAGAAATGAAAGTGCAGGTAAATATTTGATGAGAACATGGTTCTGATTAGAATGAAGCTACCTAATTAATACACAATAAAATAGTGCTTGCTTATCTGCATTTCCAAACCTTTTTTTTTTGCCCCCCCCCCATGCTCCACCTAAGCCATCTTTTCATGATGACCTGTCGTGAAGACTTGCCAGCATGAAACGTACTTATTTCCTCACTGACATGCTGGAGTGACAAAGTAATTTTCCATTCATCTCACCTATTATGTATTTGTGCCAAAATTTCTGGAATGTTTTAGAAAGTAGTATTTTTGGCAAAAGATGACGTTCTATGGCCTATAGGATTTGTGATACATGTAGATTTGACCCTCTGCTCGAAATGAGACAGAGATGATGCACACATACTTTGATTTTGCCCGCACACACTTTTACATGCATTATTATCTACTAATTTTCAGGCATACCAGTGCTAGGTAACTACAATTAGCAGTAGTTAAGAAATTTACATATGTGGTGGTTACATGTAGGGCTTATTTAGTATTTAAACAGTGTAATTATTCTATATAATATGATAATTAAACTGCTTCTTTCTGCAATTTTTCTTTATCAAAATACTCAATTATAAGCCCAATTAGATTTTAAAACATAAGGATGGCAAAAAGAAAGGGGGTCTGATTTTCAAGTAAATATGATAATTGCATTTTCAAAATTATCAAAAGAATGATTCAATTTTAGACCGATTGTCAGAGATACACATATATTTTAGAAAATGGTGTGTTTTCTGATCCTGACACTGGCTATATAACTGCTTCTTATAGGTATGACGGTTTTCTCACCAGATCTTTTATCATTCATATTTAGCATTTCATTAAAAGGCAAACTTTATCAGATAGATCAGATCAAACCATTTGTTTTAAAATATAATTTTCCAGAATATTTTCAAGATTAAGAATTGATTCTTATCAAATACTATGACATGTTTGCAAATTCTGACAATTAGCTTTGTAAACATTTGGTGCAAAATATGTTTTGGATATACAACATTTTAGAATCTTGCAATATTTTGGTCTTTGACCAACAGTTCCCAATGCGATCAGTGTTGACCATCCTGGGAGTCAATGAAATTTTAAAATATCAGCATAATCAAGATCTCATTGATTAAAAAAAATTAATGAAACCGATATTTAATTGTTTATTGATATAAAGCTTTACCATGTAGTTAGGAAAAAATCATATAAAATAAATATAATGGGAAATATACTAAAATTATACTAGGGAACGTTTTGTATCACAATTTCTGTCAAGTTCAATTTTTGAGCTGTTTTAGAGTTAAATATGTTTGCTAATTTCAAAACTGTAGTTAGTTTTGTTCTACCATAACAAAGTTTTTTCCTCAATACCTTATGTGAATATCACCACTCCCTACAGTATCAAGCACGGATCAGGACTACTGCTCTCGCACTGGCTGTAAGGAGCTACAGTATCCTATTTTTGATCACGAGAAATTGCATTTTTGCAATACTTTTGAACTGATGATAGATTTGTGTATTGCAATAACATACATTGTTTAAGGAAAGAGTTGGAAATTTCAGCCTGTAATGCAATTCAATGGTGATTGTTCATCAACAGCTCAAAGTGGAGGTTGAAGTGTGTCCTCCTCCATAATGGAAATTTGTTTGGTGCAGTCCCAACAGGTCACTCAGTTTATCTGTGCGAAAAATTCGAAGATATAAATTTACTTAATTACTTGCACATTGCCTTTTTGATCTGTTGCAATATCGCACACATCAATATATCACTATGCTGACCTACAATGCAAATATACAAAGCATGCAAATATACAATACATGTCACACAAGCATGTGCATGTGTGACAACAGAGCTCGTGAGAAGCACTGGGTGCAGTCCAACTGGCTGCCAAGATCTGACCTGAAACCTGGTGATCCAAATATTCTACATCACTACTTGTCAACAGAAAGAACATTATACTTCCACCTCTGCATATAAAACTGGGTCTCATGAAGCATTTTGTTAAAGCTTTGCCAACTGAAGGAAACTGTTTCAATTATCTCATTTTGGCATTTTCTAGCCTGTCATTTGAAAAGATGAAAGCCAGTGTGTCTGATGGTCCACAGATTTGACAGCTCCTTAATGATGAGCATTTTATCAGAACAATGACTGATCTTCAAAAGAATTCTTAGTTGGTATTCAAAATATTGGCAAAGAATTTCTTGGAAATACACAAGCGCAGAATAACAGTGAAATTATCCAGCAGCTTTTGGACAGCTTCAAAATGCTTGGATGCAACAAAAGCATCAAAACTGCACTTTTTATACAGCCATCTTGATAATTTCATAATTTCCCTAAAAAGCTTGGTGCAGTCAGTGATAAGCAGGGTGTGTGATTCCCCCAAGACTTGGTCCAAGTAGGCACAGTTCTAAGGTAGATGAAATGTACACTGTGGAAAAAAAAGGGGGGGAGGGACAGTTCTATATCTCCCATTCTACTGGGCTGATTGACAAAATTCAAATTGCATTTTTCATATCTCGAAAGCGCGACTTGTTATATTAGATTTATATATAGCACTATTCTAACATAGGTATCTTGACACAAAGTTGACTTTTTCTGAAATAACATACAAATTTTTTTACATATTTCGATTCTACGACTCAAATTTTGTAAAAATCGTACGAGTAGTTTTTAAAAAATTAGCTCCTCAATGTTAATTGAATTTGGCATATATTTATTAATATCTCTTTTTTTTATTAAACTTTTTGATTTTTCCTTTCAGATTTCGAAATTTAGATTCATTCCAAATAAAATCCACCCATTTTTCTGTTTTATTTTTAAAATTTCTATTTTTAAATAATTTTTTATTAATTCATAAAAATTTTGAATTATAGTATGAATTATTATAAAATTTTTACCATCTTCTTAAAGTAGATGTAGTTCTAAACATACCTGCAAAAAATTAGTTTTTTTTTAAATTCAAAATTTTCTGAGATAATTTATATATTTGCATGTTTTGAAATTTGGCACCTTTTCCTAGAGTGATAATAACGCCAAATGTGGTTTATGAATTTTGTTACAGTGAATTGCCACAGCTATTTTTAACCTTAAATTTCAAATACATTTTTACGGAGAATTAATTATACTATATTTTTTCTCTCAATGATGCGTAATAAATATTTATTAATACTAACCTACTTTGTTAACATATAAGGTATTTCTCCCACTTCCCTAGCGTGCCTTCGTGGTGTAACGGTAGCACGCTGGACTGGTATTCCAGAAGTACGGGGTTCGATTCCCGGTGAAGGCAGTTGCATATTTTTCATCTTTTCTGCCTCCAATTAACTTAATGACTCTACAAGTGGCGCTTGAACTAAAAAGGGTGTTGGATAATAATTCTCCTCACCCAGATTTGGTGACTAGGTCCTCTAAAACCCTAGTTGCCCTTTAAAAAGGGGAGTATATTAGGTATTTCTCCCACTTCCCTAGCGTGCCTTCGTAGTGTAACGGTAGCACGCTAGGACGGTATTTCAGAGGTCCGTGGTTCGATTCCCGGCGATGGTGGTTGCATATTTTTCATCTGTTCTGCTTCCAATTAACCTAATGACTCTACAAACATTATAGATGATATTATTCAAATTTTTAATATTTTTTTAAAAAATATTTGCAAGAGTAAATTTTTACCTTCGCGTGTTGTCGTCTGCTACTTTACTTTAACTGCATTTAAATTGAATTGTCCGAAACTGAGATCGTTCGTTTGATGTTTATTGATGTTTTTAAGATTTGATGTTTATTGATGTTTTATCCCTTGGACTTTGCTTTAAATTTTATTTATAGTTAAAATGTTTAGAAAATGAAAAGATGTCTTCAGCTGAAGCGCATTTGCTGCAACTAATATTTAAAAAAAATCAACAAGAATGCAAAATCTATGGAAGTGTAACAATTGAAAAATCTTAATTTTCTTGTGTCAGCACTGAAAACGAATGTAGAAGGAAAGAAGGAAATTAGGGGGGAAAAAGCCAAAATTTAAAGGGGAATCTACTTCAAGATAGTTGGGTATTCAAAGAGAAAACACTTATGTGTACACCAGCAAATAGAAGCAATTGAGTTTGTGCTAACGGAAAAGACAAAAATGATATCATTGCAGATTAAAGAGATGAGCGACTGTATGATTGTAAAAATTTAAATTACTTCATAGAACATCATACCGTATCATAAACAGAGCATCCCACGATTTCTCAGTCGAATTATTTGAAGATTCACGAATTTATCCAGTGACATATATAGATACCATCTAAAGACGTTTTCTCTCTTGATGAAAGCAGTCTTCCCTTTCATCACATGCCTTCAAAATGTCTAGCCTCTAAAGATTAATAAAGGCTCTGAACAAATACTGATGAAATGGATTGAATTGGATTATTACGTTGTGGCAAAGCAGGGGCTATCTGCCTAAAAGGAAGGATGCCTTCGTGAAGAACTTCCTAAGTGAAACCAGCTCGTATACACGTTATACATGAGAAAAAAACACAAAAATGCCCATGCAACCAACCCATTTGCCGGGTATCGAACCCCGGAGTGAACTACCAGTGTTCAGCGACTTTACCGCTCGGCCGCTAGTGGGCCCTTTTAAAATGGAAGGCAATAACTTTATTTAATATTAATATAAAAAATACCCAGATGTTTTGAAAAGTTGGATGCTTTTAATATACTTGCAGAATGCCTGAAAAAAAAAAAAAAGAGGAGCAAGCTATTAACAAGGAAAAATAAAATGTTTGCATAATTTTTTTTTTTTTTTTTTATTTTATGATATTTGATTCTTGCGATTTCAAAAATAAAATATTTGACTAGAATATGAAAAACATTTCAGGAAACTAAATGTAGGAAGATAAAATTGTGTAAAGCAATGAGCACAATGATAAAATTGTGTAAAGCAATGAGCACAATGATAAAATTGTTTAAAGCAATGTATGCAAGTCATCCTAAATTAAAATGTCGGATATACATATCTCTTATTTATACAGTCAAAAGTCGTTAATCCGGACTCGTCAGGACTTCGACGATTCCGGATTATCGATTTTTCCGGATTATAGATCATCAGTTTAAATCTCGTAAGATGGCATGCAGAAATTCTAAAATTAAAAATATGAAACCGTAATTTATGAAATAAAGAACAAGTATGATCTAAAGGGTATCAAAATTTACAAAAAAAAAAGGCTTAATAATTATTTGTTTACTTCATTAAACATTTCTTTCAATGTAAGTTGTTTAAGTTGCTTCGTTTTATGTGATAATACTTTCTCTTTAATTCTATAAACAGACATAATTTCTTGTTCTGTGACAAAGTTCCGCTGTACAAGTCCCGTTAATTGCTGTGCCGAGAATACCGACTAACTTGTCAATCGAAATTTTTTCGTTTTCACTAACCTCTCTGTCACATTCTTCATGTCTTTATCCATTTTTTGCAGCAATTCCACTTTTTGTTTGTTGGACATCGAAACATACTTTTGTTTTGTAGATCCTTTGGAAGTTCCAGCATCGGAAATTCTATTTGACATAATCGAAAGTTCAAGTTTACTTTTATAAAATTGCTCTTACAGTCTGCAAAAAGTAATAAGCGGGATCCAATTCGAAGATTAAGGAACAATGCAATCATTAACATTAACTGAAATAGATAATTAGATAATTTTAGCTTATACCGTACATTATACATTAAACGCGCAGGCGAAAACATATTCTGCACTTGCGCACACGCATATGCGCAGTAGTCAAGGTCTTACGTGCAAGCGTAAAACGCCTGTGCGCATGTGCCAACGTGGCGCATGCACAGAAAGTTTTTAGCTTTGAGGTCATGATTATAGATCATTCCGGATTATGGGTGTCCGAATTAACGACTTTTGACTGTATATCTTTTCCGAAAGGAACATTGAGAGGCGTTTTAACTATGCTTTACTGTATTTTATCTTTTAATATATGCAGTTTTTAAACGCTTCATAGTCTATGTCACAAATTCAAATAAATAAAATTAAATTCTGGAAAATTTATATTACTAAATATATTTAAAATGCACAGTTAGAATGAATGAATAGAAAATTTTAAAGCAGTTATCTGAAGAGATAATGAAACACAAACAATTAAAATAAAAGTTTAAAAATTAAAAAAATACCTAAAATAATAATTATGACTGAAAAATATAGTATAAAGAAAACTATCTGAAAAAAATAAATAAAAGATGCACCTTTTATTTAAATTAAACAGTTTTGAATGAGTAAGTAGAAATTTTTTAAAAAAACAGTTATTTGAAAAAAAACCATGCAACTTAAACAATTACAATGGAATTTGAAAAAGAAAAAAAAATATTTAAAATAATAACAATTATAATTAAAAATATAATCTGAACAACATTATTTGAAAGACAAAACGATGTGGCTTTTTTCCCCCTCATGCACAGGAAAATAGGTTGCCATATATTAAGAAATTTGCCAAGTGAACTTATTCTTCGCACAAACTGAAAAAAAAGTGCCAATATAAATTTTTGAATTTCTCTTTAATTTTGCACCAAATTTTACAAAATTTAATATCTAGGCATAATTTGAGTCGTAGAATCAAAATATGTAAAAAAATTGGTATGTTATTTCAGAAAAAGTCCGATTTTGTGTCAAAATACCTATGTTGGAATGATGCTATATATAAAAATCCAATACATATCCTAAGTCGTGCTTTTGAGACATGAAAAACACAATTTGAGTTTTGTCAATCTACTGTGTTAATTCAATAGACAATATTAATCAATGCGTAAAGCATTCCAACAATAGGTAAGCAAAATAGCACTTACCTGAATCATCAAGTTCTTCATTCAGGTATATCCAAAAAATACGCACAGGTTCAGCTTTTTAAAAACTTTAATCTGCATACAAGTTATAAAAAAGTGGTTATTACAAGAGATCAAAAACTACGCATCCACTTCCTAATGCATTCAGAAACAAACTAAACTAAAAATAGAACACTGATTACATCATAAATCATTGAGCGTGCAGTAAAAAACTTATGTAATCAGTTCCAATCCTTATGCGCGCACATAGACCGAGGTATCACATATCCCAACACAATCGGCCCATTAGAACGGGAGATATGGAACTATCCCATTTTTTTTCGCAGTGTACATATGATGGCTGACTATTGTTGGAGCATCAAGCGAAAATGTCCACAGATTAAACATTCTGGAAAAAGGCATCAAGTGAAAATTTTTACCTTAATAAGTACGTTTACCATTTGGTAAAATGACTACTACAGCACAAAGTCCAAAATTCGGATGTCCATTATGCAAAATGATCTAAAATCTGGACAAAACATTTTTTTGGTATGCTTTACGCATGAACATTTGATTTTTCTTTCCATAATAAAACATATGGAGATTTTCACTTAAAAATTCCGATTCTTAATTTCACTTAGGCACTAAATAAAATACCTCGTTATGGAAAAACAATCATGTAAGCATAAATTTGTAATAATTTGGCTCCGTAGCTGAGTATCTGCTTGGCATACATCTCAAACGTTCCCTTCTGTTCACCGATGTTTGCAGCGCTTACCGAAACATATATCCCTGAAGCCTATCATTTATTATATTTTGCTTTCATCACCGCATGTTTATCAATACATGACAGCTTCAGTAATAACTCATACAGTGATGTCTAAACTTTTTAATTAGTATTGAATAACAAGAGTACGGCAACCTTTTATGCTAACATTATGCGTGGCGATGATTATAGATTTTTAAATGTTCTAAGAAATGTTGACAAAGAAAAATTCCACAAACATTTCTTTTCATATTCTAAAAATAGATTTTATCAATGAAACTCATAGGCTAAAAGATTATATTTAGTGCTATTTTAATTAAGAATAACTGATATGTTATTCACCATAAACCCAGAAGCGATGGCAGAATATGTTGGCACCGGACGGCAGAATTTAGGGAAGACGAATTTTTGGAATTTGGGAAAGCAACGAGCAGAAAAATTAAGGGATGAGATGTTTTTTTGTGATTTAGGGAAAGCACTGAGATGCAAAGTTTAGGTGCGGTGAAAATTTAGAACTTAGGAAGGCACTTTGTAGCTGAATTTAGGACCCATAGAGCATTATGCGATATTTACCTAGATAAAGCATTAAGTATATGTGGGAGTTTAATTATTCAGGACTATTTGTTTTAAGCATGTGCAAGAAATAAACATAGGTACAGTAAATAACTAATACAATTCGGGCTTAATTCAGTACACAATTGGAGCAAGACAAAATTTAGCGAAACAACTTGGCTTTCGTCACCAATAATGTATAACTGACGCTATTAAGCTAGGCTAAAATTATCTTTACTGATTCTAAGGCATTTCAGTTAATGTAGTGGACTGTGCTGCTCCCTAATCTTTTAGTTTGATCCAGTTTATTATTTTTTGCAGACTGTTATTATTACAGCAATTTTATAAAAATTAAGTTTGAACTTTCGATTATATCACAAAGAGTTCCCAATTCTGGAGCTGCCAAAGGATCTACAAAGAAAAAATTATGTTTTGATGTCCATTAAACAAAAAGTGAAATTGCTTCAAAAAATGGATAAGGGTATATATGTCTCAAAATTATGCGAGGAATATGGCATTGAAAAGTCAACTGTATATTACATAAGAAAAAGGAACTTTTTGAATTTTTTGTCGAAGCAACTTAAACAACTTACAATGAAAATGTTTAAAAAAGTAAACAAATAAATATTAAGCTTTTTTTTTTTTTTTTTTTTTTTTTTTTTTTTTTTTTTTTTTTTTTTTTTTTTTTTTTTTTGTAAATTTTGATACCCTTTAGATTCATAATTGCTCTTTATTTCATAAATTAAGATTTCATATGTTTAATTGTATAATTTCTGCATGCCATCTTACCAGATTTAAATTGATGATCTAACATCCGGAAAAATCCCAAATCTGGAATCGCCGACGTCCCGATTTCACACTTCGTACTGTATTTGTATGAACAAAATTTGACTTTTAGTAATTATATATAGCCTTTGTATGAATAAAACTATTGCTTGTGAACAGTACATTTGGTAAGTTTTCCTGTCTTTTTCCTTAATATGCATATTTTGCATGATTTTTGAGACAAACAAGAGGGTATACTGTAGTTTAAAAAGTTGACGTGATAGACAAAAATTGAGGTTATTATGGTTAAGAGGCCAAACGTTAGTCAGAAACAAATTACAGAGCGCTAAGACAATGTTATAATATCAAACAATGAAATTGCTGTTCCTCAGTATTATTTAATGCATTAAAAATAATTTTGAATGTATAAAATTTTTGTACAAAATAAAAGCAAGAAAATACAAGAAATATGAAGAATGGAAAATAAGGAACAGGCTGAATATTTTTAAATGAGGTTATTTAAAAGTTGAATTAAATAATTTTACGGCAAATATTAAAAAAATACATCACGTATCATCAGAAAAATGTAAGGAGATTAATGAAGAAATCCATTCCTTTATAAGGGGTCAATGGAAGAGAAAGTTTGGAAATCTCAGCTCTAGACTTGTATTTTCATTCAGAATTTAGTAACAGGAACATTTACTTTTTTTTCGCAGAATTTTGGTGCAGTTTAATCACCCATCTAGCAATTAAATAGAATTATTTTTACTTATATATATCAACATATATACTCTGTTACACATTACATTTTTAACATTAAAATTAAATTACAAAACAAAAAATTAGCTTACACTTTTATGAAACATATACATACCACCAGCTTGGGCATGCACAACACCTTTTATATAATTGGCGCCAAAAATTGGCTGCTCCAGTTCTAGACCACTCATACTGAAAAATGGGAAACTGAAAGACTGCAGAGGATCCTTTTCAGATTTATTCATAAATATCATCTAAAAGAAATTGTTTATAATTGCATACACATTCTTTTTAACTACGTTTAACATAAAATCAAGATTAAAACTTGATATATAAATGATTTGTTTTTCTTCTTTCTCTCTCATATTAGAAAAGTACAGTAATATCTTGAAGTTATGTGATGGGAGGAACCAATGAAAAGTATTTTTGTCTAACATAATTGGAAATAAGGAAATACAAATAAGGACCGAAAACACAGCTTGAAAAGGAAAATATGTAATAAAAAATGCAGTTATCATACAAAATAATAATAGTATAAATGTGTTACATAAAAATAATGTTAATGCAGATGATTTCAGAAAAATTAACAAACCTGTCTGCCCCCCCCCCATTTAAATATTACTCCTTTGACCATGAACTACCACCAAGGAGTGCAATTTAGCACCAATTAAAGAAAAGCATGACAATTTAACACATTCATAACATCTATGGTTTCTTTCAGATCGATTCTTAGTAAGACAACTTCTCTTTTTATGAACAAGGTTATAAATTAACTGTTATTGCTGTATTTACCTGTTGCTTGGTGAAAAATTTTAAGGGCTGCAAAATCGCATTTGCGACTGCAATCTGTATCACTTACAATTGTGCAAAATTTCACTCTAAGATTCTAGAACAATTCATAAGACATATAAAGTACTGAATTATGTTCTTAAGTCCTTAACAGATAGCTGATTGTTTTGCTTCATACAGTTACTTAGATGTGCAAATGACCATCTTGCTAATATTTTGATGCTAATAATTTGCTTATCGCTAAAGCGACTTTCACACGAGTTAAAACCAATTAAACTGCAAGATGTTAACAGTTTAGATTAAAGCTAAGAATTGTCACTTTGGAGGGAATCCCATGTTAGGTATAAAGTGGTTACCAAACCAGTACTGAAAAACAAACTATCAACCAAGCTACAAGGAACTGTAACTATGAGTTCATGTAAGTTAGGGTATCACCATACAACAGATTAAAGATATCCATAGCTTGGGACTTTAGGATGCATTACAGTAATTTAGTTTTGCAGGTATCAGGTCATATATAAAAAATAATTTTATTCATATTTTTTTAAAAAAAAAAGACACAAAGAGAATAAAAATAAACTAGAGCACTCTTCAGAAAAGTAATTAATTTCAATGACATTTTTATAAAGAGAAATAACTTCTTTTAAAAATTTTTTCGTTAAATATAATTTACTCTTATACAACAATATAGTAAAGATTAAATATTGGATTTAAGTTCATACAACATTATATATATATAGATATATATATATATTTGATATACCTGTTTACAGAAGGCGGTTTTAAAATTAAAAAAAATTCCAGGTTAAATCTGCCTTTTATCAAGTTACTGGAGTCATTACTTCCTGATCATCTACATAGCTTTTGTTATTCTAAATTCCTACACATATGAGTTTTTATAACCTATAGTCATTTTGGTCTGCTGAAAAATTACTATGTTTAAATATAACCATAAAGTATTCTGTTTATTACTGACCAACAGCCCATTATGTCTACGGGTTAAAGATGGTTTGAATCTTTGCCTACAATAATAATGGTTATTTTAATGAAATATTCAAGACCCACTGCAAGTATAATCATCATTTCTATGTTTTTCACAATCGATAGTTCCTTCTTCCAATCATTTCAGCTGCCACTCAATGAATGGAAATCTATCAAAACTCTACTTAGTGCAGTTTTGCTCAGTCAAAACAGCACAGAGTAATCTTCTGTTTCAGAATAAATTTTAGTAACTTCAAAGCAAAATAACAACTAGAAGCAGTTACAAAAATAATTATCAACAGAATATGGTATACCAAATAATGATTAAGGCAACAAGAATCAGCAAAACTTTCCTGTGTGGTTCTGCTACACTGATGAAACCTTTGTTTTCTTTGGCAGTAATTAAGATGATTTAAGTAAAGTTCTTTCAATAATGAATTCCACGGATCCTGCTGTTCATTTTTCAGCACTGCAAAATTCAAGAATATTTCACTGATTCTTATTGCCCTAACACCTCCAAGAATATAGTAGCCTTGCTTCACTAATTCAACAATAATACAACAACAGTTTTTTTACAATAACTTAAAATCATGCAAAAAATGTAACTAAATGAATTTTAAATTAAAAGACACTACACTTAAATTTTTTTCACCTTTTTATGACCAATTTATTTCAAATGGAATTTTATTTTATACAAATTTATTTTTATACTGAATAGCTTATTCCCCCCTTGCTCTGTTTTCATTAAAATTTAACAACAAAAATAACTAACATATAACTGTTCCCAGTTTTGCACAATTAGCATTTCAAGCAATTATTCAGAAATACTTTCAGATCAATGTTGGATCTCCTATACTCCCTTATACTAATTTATAAATCTTCCATTTATGAAAAATATATTTTGGAGTTTTGTAGAGAAATTTAATTACACACAATGTATGAAAAAATTATCTTGCATAAAGTAATGAACCAGTGTCTCCCATAACAATGCATTTATTAACAAAAAGAAAAAAAAAAGACATTTATTAAACACATATACACACATCACAAAACAATTGATAACCTTAAAAAATAATATTAATAAAAATAAATAAATAACCCAAGCACAATGCAGTACAAAATCCAAATTCAAGAATGATCTAAAATCCATACCTCCTAACAACTGGCAATTTTTTTGCAATGCTTAATGCATACACATTTGATATTTTTTCATAATAAAACATGCTAAGAGTTCTAATCTTTAACTTATCTAAGTCCTAATCTTAACTAAATTAGCACTTCGATCCTGAAGAAACACAATTATTTATTAACATAAATTTTTATGGTCAATAAGTTGACTCCATCGCAGACTTTTTGCTCTGCACACATCTCAAATCAAAAATTTCTACATTAAAACATCATATCGGATATTAACTTACTGAATAACTTAAATCTATGATAGCAAACTTGTGAACCACTTTCTATTAATTTTTGCTTTCATCACGGCATGACTATCAACAAAGGGCAGCTTGAGAAATGACTCACACAGGAATTTCTAAATAATTTTATTAAAAATACATCAGTAACTGAATACTAAACAGCATGACAACCATTTACACTGACATTACTCTTATTGATGATTACAGACTTTACCTGGCTGTGCTGGGAAGTGCTGAGTGTGTTAACGATGAAATATATTTTGTAAATGATACTCAAGTCTAAAAGATTATATCTAGTGCTGTCTGAATTAAATTGATTTATTATTCAGATAAGCCCACGAGAAGTGCAGCCACACCAGGTAGCAAAATTTTTAGAATTTACAGAAGGATTAAGAACAAAATTAAAAGGTGGCAAAATCTTTAATATTTAGGAAAGGCACTCGAATGCAAAATTTAGGCATGGCAAAATTTTTAGAATTTAGGACCCGCAGAGATTGCACCAGTGGCAAAATGTCTACAGCTGACCCTGGATAAGCCTTAAATATATGCACGTATTTATATATTCAGGACTCGGACAAGCCTTAAACGTGTGCTGGAAATAGCCATAAAAGTATAATAAATAACTAAACTAATATAATTTATTTAAAACTTCTTAGACACACAATAAAAGCAACACAAAATTTAGTGGAACACATGTCTGCAGTTGCCATTTTTATAATACATCGCCAACAGTATACAGCAAACACAAAGCTTTTTGATGACAGCCAGAAACTTTAAGGTTTTTGAATATGGCAAACAAAATGTAAAATTTTTCAATTACTTGAATTTGAGAAAAATATGGAAAAGTAATAAATGAAGATGGTATGATAGAAGTTTTCCATTGTGATGACAAAGTCCCAATAATCAATCAACCAATGGACAATAAAATCTGTAATACGGTCCTAAATCCAGAAAATATCACTACTGGCAGAGAAGAAAGTAATAAAGTGGTTGTTGAGAATGAAACAACTTTGACTGATGATTTAGTGAAAATTCTCAACATGGAGTAAGGACCTGAACAATTAAATTATTTTGAACAAGAAATTATGTCTATCTCTAATAGTCAAGAGAAGTATTAGCATTAAAAAAAAACAAAAGAAATGACATATTAACTTGGTACTTACATACTTAAATTGGTACTTATGTATTAACGGCACCCACCGCAGCTGCAGATTTGCCGGTTTTTAAGTGCAGCCAATCTACATTTAAAATTTTTGTGACAAATCATAAATTAAAACGTATTATTTAAAATCAAAACACTTTACTTAAAATCAAAGTAGTCAATCAGATTTCAGTGGAAAATGGGCCGATATAGAGTTTAACATAGATTCAAAACAGTCTCTATTTTCTTTGACTTGATGCTGTCGCCATATGAACTCTGCTAAATAAGATTTTAAATGATGTCTTGCTGCCCCCTATGTCTCTTGTTCATTCATTTAGCACTGCCCCACATTCTCTCAACTGTTTTGTGTATGAACTCCTGTATCAGGATCAATAAAATTGTATTTATGAATAAATGCATGTAGGAATCCTTTCCCCCCCCCATTCTATTTGTTTGGTAACCTTTCTAACTATCAGAATAAATTTTTGTGCTACCATCTGCAATGTTTTCAATAATTTTATTGAGAAGGGTAGAGCCAGTTCTATTAGGAACAGTGACAACAAATAAATCTTTTGTTTCTCTACATTTACCACCAAACACCCACTGTACTCGACCACAATTATTTTTATGCTTAGTAAACAAACTTTCATCAATTTCCACAATGCAATATGGTCCATCTACCTTCTTGTTTGGTTTATTCTCCATATCCAAGACACATAATTCCCGCATGTAATTGTTCCAATCTATAATAGTTTTATTCAATAAATCAAGTTGCTTTTCACAAAATTTAATCAATGCCAACTTCTTGTACCAGCAGTATATGAATCTCAAAGATGAACAAAATGGAATTCTGCTTCATTCAAACCAGTTATATTTTCTAAGTCCCACTTGCTGATCACACTGTCTTAAATTAAATTTCCAAAATGTAAGTTTACCAAAATAAAGTTTCATATCATGCGAATTGGTAGATTTTCGTTTTTTTCGTAAAATATTTATTTCCTGAAAAAATAAAATTGCATATTCTTCTGTGTTTGGCACATCCCAAAGACGCATTTTCATAGCACTAAAAAATAGCATCACAAATCAGCAAACAACAAGGCAAAAAGGAATCCAAAAGATAATTGCGTGAGAACAACAGGATTATTCTTTATTGGCACATCAGCATACCTTCTGCTGCGGCGGCATTAATACGTAAATACCAAATATTTAATAAAGCAAACAAATAAATACTGATAATATTCTTTTGTACATTTGGGTTCCCTTAAAGTCATAAAAATTCCATTATTTAATAAACGACTATTTTATAGTTTCAATTTTATGATTACTACATATTACATTACTAGATAAAAACTGACAATCTAAATCCCAGAAAATTTTCAAATCTGGAATCACCAAAGTCACGACGATTCTGGATCATGGACTTTGTACTGTGTATGGTTCTTGGTGAAATAATATTAGGTTTAAGATAGCATATTCAAATATGCAATTATAAGATAGCATATTCAAATATGCATTTATAAAACAATTTCTTTTTTAATAAATAATTAATTTTTAATTCACTGTAAATGAGAAAACTACAACTCTGCATTTCCTTTTGATGGCCACCTCACTAAATACTTTTAAGATTCGGTCTACTTTATGTTAGTAATATAAGGAATGAAAAGTGATGCTATACATATATTAACACGTAAAGCCTGGCACCGAATTTGCTGTCCTTTCCGTTCGCCGGCACGAGTGATCAAGTGGTGCAATGTTGCACGGTGATCTGTGACTTCATGCACTGAATAGAGCTTATCTGTTGGTGAGCTTTGTCAGCTACCAACATACAAGCCCTGCATGTGCGTGACAAAGCTTGCGGTTGCGAATGTTAATACTGTCAGTCCCGTGGACTGCCACTAGCCAAACGAAAATTCTGACGCCGGCCAAATGAAAATTCCAGTGGCCACAAGGAAAGCTTACTGCCGGTCCCTAGGGACCGGCGCCAGGTTCAACGTGTTAATGCAACCACTTTGGGGGCAGTTTAGCAATTTTCTACAGAAGAACAAAGAATAAGGGCATACGAGTTTAAAAATACTAAAAAATGAATCAATAAATTTACTTGCAAATGGGTTTTAATTTTTTTCTGCTCACAAAAAATTCATGGTGAATGCTCTGAGAATATTCAAAGCAATTATTTTCTTCAGCCCAAAATAATACCACATCCCTGCAGAAATTTTACTGCAATTTCTTCCACTGCAGCTAAATCTCACAAGCATAAATTTTAAACTGTGTTAAGACTAAAAATACCACAATCTAGCTTAAAAAATAGTGAAGAACCTTGTAATCAAATAAAAGAACACAAACAAAAATGGCAATAAAACTGAAGAATTTTTATGTGCATTATTGCCACAGTCTGGAACATTTTGAAACTCTGATGACCTCTGCTAAAAGTGGCTAAAGCTCATATGCAATTACCAAAATAACAAGAACCTTATATCTTCATCTTACAGTGAAATTTTTGAAAATTTTAAAATCTCTTTTTGCAGTGTTTCTTTGGTACTCACCCTGTGGGTTGTGAGGTAAATTCTTCCTTTCTTTGTTCCACCAAAATCTTTAGTCCCATTTCCTTCGATTATTAATTCAACTCCATCACAATATAATAATATTCTGCAACAGATTTTTGTTCTATTACTGAATGGCAATCTACACATACATAAAGGTAGTTTTTAAAATATAAAAATAAGGAAATAGTACATCTCCACTGTATTTGCGACAAAACTTACCTTTAGATTGATATGATTTTTAAAAATTTCTTATTTAAAAAAAAAAAAAAAAAAAAAAAAAAAAAGGTCTTTTGTCTTAGTAGTAATTCATATAGACCACCGGTTCTCAACCTGCTTTGCTCCACGAACCCCTTCATCATTACTAGATCATCGCTCCCTCTTTTCCCAGATTTAAAAAAATGCATATGCATACATTTAAATTTCATTTATTTTGAAATGAGTTTTATAAATTAAACAACAAAAAGTAGAGAAAATGCTAATAAATATAAAAACTTGAATAAAAGCAGTTTTTTATATTCATAAAAATCTGACTGCATTCTTTCTGAAACTATGAAATCCCCTTACCCCCTGGTAGAGACAATTCAAAAATATTTCCAAAATTTTGAATATCTATATTAGAACTTTCACAAAACAAATGTTTTTCTTGAAAGTCGAAATTTTTCAGCGGTGGAGTGAATAATCAAAAGGTATTTATTATATCAGATTCTCAAACTGAAATGACATAAAAAAATATTTGACTAGTTTTATTCACACTGCATTTCAATTTTCATATATGATGACAGGTTTCAATAAACTGCATGTTAAAGTGGTACTTACTAAAAATCTCATCGATCATTTTTGCCTATTAACCACTTGCGCTAAAAAGACGTGCCACGCACGTCGAGATGCTTTTGTCTCAAACCGCGAGCGACATGAACACCACGTCGATAGGCATTTATCACAAAAATGGAAATAACGTGGTGCACATGTCGCCTAACAACGAGATCGCTTATTTCTCGAGTTACAGCTTTGGATTGCACTTGCAGACGCGGAGCGGCATAAATGAGACACTTTACCGCTTGTTATATTGTAGTGCACGGCACCACAACCGTGAAGTTTAGGCGTAGCGCAAGTGGTTAAGGAAAAGACACCAAACTACGCGATTTTTCGCCAAAAATGGAAAAATCTTCTTCAAACAAGTCGAGTTTGGTGTAACCTTGATTACACAAGTTAGTTATTATTATCCTTGAGTAAAGACTAGTTTTTTCCCATGTATCACGCATTAAAAAAAGATTAAAATTTGGAACCTGCCTACTAAAGAAGAGCATGCTTCTGAATATTTCCAAAGTTATGGAATCTTACCAGCGATTAAATTAAAACCTAGCGAAAATAATTGCTTTTACAGTATATTGCCTTAATAAAATAATGGAAATTTTTAATGAAAAATTAAATATAAATAAATGATAATATAATAGATTTGAAAGAAAAATAAGAATAGAACACTTTTTCTTGTATTTAGTAAATGCATTTTTTTTAGTTTCGCGCCGTTTCTCAACAGGATTTTCCATAAGTACCGTTAAAGCACATAATTTACTCCAAATTGATTTTCCAATAAATTCATTAAATATGAATATCATTAATTTTTTCTTAAAATTAACACACAAAAAATTTTAAGTATATTACTATAAGCTTTCAGCTGCTATCAGGAAAAAAAAAAAAAAAAAAGAATAGTTCGATTAATGTTTTGTACTTAAATCTGGACCCCTAAACAATTTAAAAACGTAAATAAATAAAAATTTAAAAAAAAATTCCCTTCACAAAGTGTAGATAGGGAGAATATAATATACATAAAAATATCTGATGTGGACACCACAACTTCCTTGTATGCTTACTAAATTATACACAGTTTTGTTGCATTTCATTTAAACTTATATCCTCAAATTATTCTGACTGAACTAACTTATCCCTCAAGGAAAGCTGAAAATGATATCAGAAATTATAAGTTTTTAAATTACATAAGATGGCCAATTTTTGTCATACAGGAGTCAAACTTATCATAATTTTTTTTTTACATAAGCGAGTATAAAACTTTCCAATATTTATTCTTAGTATAAAATACTTTTATTTAAATGTATTGCTTGCTTAAACTTTAATACTACTGCTTTTATTTACATACAAAAACATCTTATTAATTATAAAAGTACACAAAAGCACATTTTAATATAATCATTTCATAGAAATGACTTACACAATAAATCAAATGTATTCAGATGATGCATTTGTCAAACCATTTCACAATTTCAGCATATTGTCCATTTATCACTAACTTTTTAACTGTCTCGCCCGAAATATTCTCAGGCACAGCACTGGTATTCCAAAATGTCACGCCCAAGTATTACTCAGGGTAAATTATTATTATTTTTTTGAGTGCATCGTATTGTTATACCCGAATATATACTGTGAGAAGTTTATAGTGAGTTTATCATTAACTTTATTGTAAGAAGTTTATTTATTTAGTTTTATTTATTTATTGAGTCTACAACACAGTGCAAAGTTTGTTGCTCAAGGAAGGATGAAAATGAAGAAAAGACAAGAAAGGAAACATGATTCTGGTGTACTGATTGTGGAGTTGGTTTGTGCTTGGAAAATTGTTTCCAGTTATACCACACAAAACTGAAATACTGAATTACTAAACTTTACAACTGCCACACTGAGTGGCAGCCGCTTCAAGTGAATATGCATTGGCTACAAAAAACCTTAAAATTTTTATGCATGTAATTCAAAATATCAGTTTTTAACTACTAAGTATATTTTATTCTGTACTAAACACTTGATTTTTGCAATAAAAAAATTATAATTTATGTACCCAAATCATCAAAATAACAGTTAAAGGGTTAATAAAAGACTATTTTCTTCAGTTATTTTACAGCTGTCAATCTATTATCAGAAAATTAATTTTGGGCAAGGGGGAAGTCAAAAGCAAAATTTGCACAGCAGGTCATAGAGGAACCAGTAAAATAAATAATTTATACATAATAAAACTATAACATATTTTTAACTCAAATTTAGATTTATAAACTAATCAAATTCTGAAAATGCATTTTGCACTGCTATTTTAGAGCAAGATCACCACTCAAATTGATAGTATTTTTATACACTACATTGTATATATTCTCTTCATTAAGCAGCAATTTATTTTTAAAGGATAACTAGGCATCAAAACAATTTATCAGCAATGCCAAACAACACACAGAACTTCATGGAATATTGAGAACAACTTTTTCTCATATGCTGAAAATCCAGCAAAACATATCATAATTCAAAGTTTAACAAGTTTGGATACTGAAATAACATTGCTTTGCTGAGTATTTTTTTGAAATTGCAAAGACTAAAAACAATTTAAATGTAGATCCCTTAAAATTCACTTATAGAAATTTGCATAAAAAAGTTTTTTTTATCCTAATTAGAAATCACAATCACATCCAGGTTATTTCTTTATAACAGTGAAACACCATTTATGTGTTTCTCATTTGTATGTTGCATAACTTCAATTATACTACGTCGCTTTTGATTACTTACTGCATTAGTTTTACATTTCACAGTCTCACCATTGAAGTATTTTTCCCAGAAATGGAGACAGGTGAAGGAAACAAAGGCAGGAGACATAATAGTCTAGTACAGGAATTGAAAACCCTTTTATGAATACAGGGGATAGTTGAAAGGAGAAATACATATTTTTTTCCCCTTTTGCTCAGGATGCTTTGTTAAGTAAACTAAACTAGATGGAGCAGAATTGACTAACACAAAGTATTACAAAAGCAAAAGGCATTCTCAATGAAAGATAAAATTATCTTAAAAGAATTTGATGAGAATACTGGTTTGGCTGATATAGCAAAGAAACTAGATATTCCTATGTCAGTACTAAAAATGGCTGTTTATGATCGAAAAACGTTGAAGAAAGAACACAAACAGAGCATGACAGATTGTGGGCAATTCACTTCAAAGAAATTTTGTGTTCAAGATTGAAAGTTTCCCGAGGTCGAAGCCATTTTGCTAAAATTTTTCATTCAGTGTCATGCATACAATATTCTAGTGAATGGCCTACATTAATTAAAAAAAAAAAAAAAAAAAGACTTCAACTGAATGCAATGAAACCTTGCTTTTTAACTGGATAACTGCTTAAGTTTAAATTGTGGCATGGAATCTCAAATGAGTCCTTTACATATAGGGTTCCATAAAACTGTTCCATAAAAGTTCACAAAAGCCCAGATGGTTCAAACATGTTAAAATTCTTCCATTATAATATAAAGCAAATAATAAATAATGATAATGGCCATTTTTACAGAATGGCTCAAGAAAATGTATAAAACCATAAAATTTTACTTTTTATGGATCAATTTACCATTCATCCTCAAATGACAGATTTCTTGCAAAATGTGAAAGTTGTTTTCTTCCCAGCAAATTGCACTAGCGTTACAACCTTCAGATATGGGTATCATTAAAAATTTGACAATGTTCTGCAGGCAAAGACTGATTCAAATAGCCCTTCAAAATAGTACAGGAAAACAGAGAAAAAGTATATATTCTTAAGGCTATGAATATGACTTCACTTGTCTGGATTTAAAAAAAAAAAACTTCAAACAATTAAAAATTTCTTAATTCAATTCCATTCCTTGTAGGCAACTGCATCTACCAGGAAATGTTGATGACCTAGCCTGAAAACTGGAGCAAATTTGGCACGAAATACCACAAGAGACATTTATCAGTCTATGCCAGGTTGTGTGGCAGCTTGCACCCAGGTGGATCAACGCATTTTATTGAGCTCATTACTTTGTAACTTTGTAACTCGGAAATAACATTATTCAATCAATTGAATAAAATTATTACTCCTTCTTGGTGAGTCGATTTTCTTGTTACAGAGTGTATTTTGATCTCATCTTTAATATTACAGTAAATATTCACTTGCATATTTTTGTTACTGGAACTAGTGGTCTCGAACTCAAATTTCATGCAGGCTGAATGCACAACATAAAAACAACAGACGGGCCAGATTTTTTTTTTTTTTTTTTACATAACAGGAAGTTTTTTTAACAAAATAAAAAATATCTAAAATAAATTGAAAAT